ACACTTGTCGAGACACAACTTTGACCATTAATATATACTCCCCCGTCCCCTTTTTAATGTCCCGTTTTACCATATTGGGATGTCCCTATTTAATTGTCACATACCTTATTTGGTAAAGTTTGTATGACTCAAAATCATTCTTACTTTATTCTTACTTTATCAATTAATATCAACCACACAAATCTACTTTTCTTTAAATTCGTGTCACCCTCTTCCGTCCCAATAAAAAAGGGACGGAGGTAGTATGATTTTGTATTAGTAAAAAATTAAAAAAAAAATAGATTATGAAAATTTACAATGAGACAAGTTTAACAATATTTTTTTCATAAAAAATTTTTATTATATTAATAAATAAAACGTAGTCAAAGTAGAATATGTGAATAGTGTAAAAGTCAAAATGTTGCATTTATTTAAGAACAGAGGTAGTATGTAATGTCATGTTTCAAATGAAAAATGACATGTATATCTTAAAGGTCTGTTTGGTAACGGCCGAATATACTTAAATGACTGAATTTGTTGAAGTGAAAGTGTTTGATAATATGTTTGCTGAAATGGCTGATTGAATGTAAAATTACCGTAAAGAGTATTATTGTTTGGGTTAAATAAATGGGGTGAGTTTTGCTAATAAATTATTTTTGTTGGTTAGAACTCTTAAGAACAGGCTCGGTAAATCTACCCTGCTATCATAGAAACACGTCAATATAGATAATCACAGGGGAGGATCTATGTTAGGGCTATGGTGGACTGAAGCCCAGGGTCAAGTCAAAAAAGAAAATTTGTTTAAGGTATTATTTTTAAAATTTTCCATCTAGCCCACTCCAAATTTTTCTATAGCCTAGTCCAATTTTTCAGCCCAGTCCATAAAACAAAATCATACCATTTAAAATTCAAAAAAATATACTCTGTAACCTAAATGTTATACGCATCACGGCAAGACCGACCCAGTGGAAAGGCAACTAGTGCAATGACACAGGGTCTCAAGAAATAGAAGGCACAAATACATTTGTAGTATTAATTAGGTAGCCCACTAGCCCAAATTCAATAAAAATAGGCTAATAGCCATGTGATGAAGCGGCCAAGTCTTCGCCATTTTACCCTTCGTCGTCGATATCGCGATTTCCGCAAGGCAACTATCTGCATCAGCCAAATTTGACAAAGCCATTCAATCATTGTCGAGTCGCCGACCACTCCAAGACCCAAGCGTCAACATCCGTTCGTGACTCCGTGTAGGTCCTCCAGTCAAACAACAGTTGAGCACTGATAGAGTATATGGGTCTGGACCCCATGGCCCACATACTCAACGGCCCAAAAGACACCAGCGGGACACCCGCATCGGCCAGAGGCACGTAGCGTCCAAGAAAGAAGATATCGCCTGATTTATTTGGATGGCATCGTCCATGGACCGCATCGTCCATGGACCGCATCGTCCATGGACCGCATCGTCCGTGGACCGCATCGTCCATGGACCGCATCGTCCGTGGACCGCATCGTCCGAACTTCGCCCGGACAGAATGTATTTTCCTATTTTATGTACTAAGTATTGTACACAGCCCATTAGTGGCTTCATTTCGCCCAAAGAAGGCATAATTATTGTAATGGGCCTCCTAAGCCCAAGGCTAGGGGCCCAAATCCACATTTTTACCTATAAATAGACCCCAAGGGGCTAGTTATAGGGGGGTTCCAAGTTGAGAAATATAATTACTCACTTTCTCTCTCTAGCTCTCACTTCTCTCTAGAACTAATACTCTATCATTTGGTGCTTTCATTGAGAGCCTAGAACAGATCAAGTGAGTACCCTTCGTCGCTACCAGACACTACCGCTAGCTATGACTAGAACTAGGTCAAAGAACACCGGTAGGAACGCCCCTCTGAACCAGGAAGGGCAGGGAAACGTTGCTGACAACGTCCCCAATGATCTCATCATTCAGGATGAGAACGCTCAGGAGGTCGAGCTCGCAGCGGCCGACCTTCGCACCCAGCTCAACAAGACTGCCCCAGACGCCCGCATCGGGCTCGAGGACAGGCGCAATGCTGATCGTGCTTCGGGCCAGCAGGCTTCTCACCCTGCTGCCCCCCAGATCAACCCGGCCGCACTATCGGCCATCGTCGCAAGCATCCTCCAGGACCCCAACGTGGTCAGCGCTCTTGTCGCAAAGACAGGGGAGAACAACACCCCCGTGACTGGGGAAGTCGCGACGGTGCCACCACCGCCGCCTCGGCCACAGGGCGTCACCTTCTTCGGCAACGACGAAGGCATCCTCGCCGTGGACACCCTTTCCCATACTGCCTCTCCTACCCGGGATACACCGGCCCAACCTCGCGGTAAAATCTCGGCCTTCAACAGGCTGGGTGACATCGCGAGCCGTCGGGTACCTACGGGAAGGGTGGCGGATCGGTTGGGTAACCACGAGCCGGGGTCGCCAAAGGAAAGCTTCGGGCCGTCTCCCGGACAACGGATCGGCCCCGACCAGATAAAGGCAAAGGAAAACTGAATGATGATGATGCGCGTCACCAGATCAACCTGGCCCACGCGGCCCGGATCCAGACCCCTCTAGGTGGCGCTTTGGCAAACACGGACCCAAGGGACGAGATCATTGCTCGCCTAGAAAAGCGCCTCGCTGACATGGAGGCCCGGGAGGCCGCAGGGCGCGCAGCGGCTCATACATCCCAGCATCCCAATTACGATGCACTCCTTCACAAAGTCAGTGCCTTGGAGAGGGAGCTGGCCGACCGACGCGACGAGCCCGTCATCCAAATACGGACCCGGACCCCCTTCTCTGCGAGGGTGCTTTCCGCTCCCATCCCAGAGAAGTACAAGGGGAATCCGATCAAGCCATATGACGGCCGCACTGATCCCCAGGAGCACTTCACCCGTTATCAGAACAATATGATGATGACCAATGCTTCGGAGGAGTACATGTGTCGCTGGTTCCTATCCACCTTGGAGGGACCAGCGTACGATTGGTTCAACAACCTTCCGGAGGGAAGCATCGACTCATGGCAGGACCTTGCTCAACGTTTTCTCACCCACTTTGCCGGAAGAAAACGTGCGAAGAAGCATTTCGCTCATCTCCTGACCATCAAACAACAGCCAGAGGAGACGCTACGAGCCTTCCTCGACCGCTGGACGAGGGAGGCGGATGATTGCCCGCCCCATCGTCCTGCCGTGCACTTGCTCACTGTCGCCGCCCGATCGCACGCGTGTCCCGCTACCGTCCCTAGACATGTGAGCCACCGTACCACTGTCCCAATCTATGGGTGCCGCCGCCATCCCTAGACATGGGAGCCACCGTCCCAATCCATCCGTGCCGCCCAACCATCTCCTCAATTCTCATTCGTCATCATCTTCTTCTTTTCTATTTTTGAAATTATGTTTTGTTGAAATTAGGTTTGTGGGCATTAAACATGGGCAATAAATATAGGCAGTGAGGATAGATCTAGTTGAATATGAGAAGTGAATATGACAATATGTAATTTTGTACATGGCAATGAAGGAATGCATTGATAGTGTGTTGTGCACTGAATTGGATGCAATAGATGGTGTTATAACATTGGCGGAAAGTGCAATGATTAATTATGACAAGCAATGCAGTAATGTAGAGCAGTATCACCCGCATGAAATGCAATAGAATTAATTAGACGTAAAATACTTAAATTATTAAATCTAAAAAAAATTAAAAAAATAACTATAAATAAATTCCTAAAGTGAATGAGAAGAGAACTAATGTTGGTGGAAGTGCAGTGATATGTTATCGAAAGTGTAGTAATGTCATGCAGTAACGGCAGTATAAAGTATTTTTAATTGTATAAAAATAATTTAAATAAAAGTATTTTAGTCATAACTAGTCATGTTTTAGTGTTTGCATTAGAAATATGCATTTTATAATTTTACTTCTGCCGTTAAGTAACTCCTCTGTCAAATTCCTTCATTTAATGTAGCCATTCAACTCTGCTTGTAAGGGAATAACATGCAGCCAATTCATTACGTATGGTACATGGGTTGACATTAAAAAAAAATCATAAATCATATCACATTAATAAAACCCATTATACTAAATGCATAATAGGTCACACCCTACACTTCCGCGTTGCTAATTACGGAGTACTAGTACTACTTTCCCTCCTGCAGCAATGATCGGCCTTGCCTTTTTTGCTGCTGGCTTTCACCAATACCGCAAGGAAGCACATTTATTTAGGAGGGTATTTTTGTCCATCAATGCAATCATATTCAACCGGTTAATAATTCTTAATTTCTTTTTAGTCATACGCCTGACCAAAAACAACTTTGGTCATATTGTGAGAAACGTGTTTACTTTTGGTCATATCACGGTATTTATCCCAATCCTGAATTTGACAAAGCATGAAATAAAATAGTACTCCATCAAAAATACGGCAGGGAGTATCTAACCGTTCGGACAACACTTTTCCTATATTTGATGAAATTTTGCGAAAGTATTCTTATGAACAGCAGATTATATTCATAAAATTTCAGGTTAAGTTCAAGTATGAAGTTAGCTAAATAAATTATTGAAAAATAATGTGTTTTATATTCATATTTTTGCTGAAATTTTAGGAACATCCATTTTTATGAAGGTCCTCACAAAATTTTACTAAAACTTTCCCCAAAAGTCACCACAAATGGTATCGGCCAGCCAGAGGTTCGTGTCAGCACGTCTGCACTAGATCATTCGTTCATCCTCACCTCTATTAATTCATCTTCTATATATATACTACGGAGTAATTCATCCGTCTTCTAAAATTCTATACAGAGTATTTTTAATTTTCTTTCCCTATTTAATGGTAAAACTCACACATATATGTTTCATGAATGTGCGCATTTCGATTAGAAACATTTTAATATTTTATGGAGTACATGGTTTTGTGCACAAATCACGAATGGAGGCAGAATATCTGGCTTTGGGGCAAGGAAGAGGCCTCAATCCAAGAGTAATACTTGTTCTCCTATCCAAGAGTAGATTCTATGATACTCATTATAGCTATTCATATACTCCGTATATTGAATAAATTAAAATAAAAAATAACAAACTCACTTCAAATTAAAGAGTCGTCGATAATATATATGAGAAGTTTCAATCAAACATATGATAGTAAGACATAGAAGTACAAGAAATTGTTTTGTTACAATGCTCTTACAAGGGATACGAGCTAAGAACTAGCGAGCCGCATTCTGCACATACAAATAAATGTTACTCCCTATAAAGATCAAAGCGTGCACATAAAATTTTGATTGATCAAACGGCCGACTTTATGCTTGCGCTGTAGCCGTTGTCGGTGAATTTAGACCAGAGCATCACGCCTCCGTATTTAGCAGAACGTTTGATGGCCGGAAGAATCTGAGAAGTAACCACACTTGCCGGGATGAAACCGGCAGCCGCCTGGGCGGCCGGCAAACCAAGAAACACTTTTCCGGCGGGAATGTTTGACCAACTATTGTTCCAAGAGTTGAGGAGCTTGGAGGCGTCCCCTGAAGAATACTGACAGGGAGGGTTGTTGTAGAACTGAACCCAAACGGAGTCGAAAACTCCGGCGGTTATGGCCGGTTGCAGCATTGCATCGGGGAATGGACATTGCGGCGCCGCCGATAAGTACACGTTCTGTCCGAATGCCTTTAAGGCCTTCCCCAGTTCGCCGTAGAACTGACTCCCGCCTGATTCTATGTCAAAGTCAACTCCGTCAAGGGTTTCGTTTCCTAGCGGCCTTGACCCTGATTGTCCGCCAAGGTAGTTGTCCCACAGATACTGAGCCACATTCCTGGGCATAAATGGATGGGCAAAAACTTTAGGCCAATGAAGAATGTATCCCGAATCCGGGGGTTTTGTGCATTGAAAAAGAATTGTTAAATCTTGTTATTTTGAAAATCCAGTCAATAAATAAATATAAATGTGATACATTTTGGATAGAGCCATAGAGGGCTGAATCCTATCCTATATCCTATATCCTATCCTATATATATATATATATATATATATATATATATATATATATATATATATAGATAAAGGGAGAATCCCATCTCCCAAAAGTTTTCCCGCTTCTCTCTCATATAATTTAATAATTATTAAATTAAATTAAATGCTCTTGCTTTTGCTAACAGCCATTTTCTTTTTTTCCCGTGATTTTCTTCTTCTTGGTTAAATCATCCGTTTCTTCAGTTTCAGTTTCTATGAAGTATCCGTTTCTTTCTTCTTGCTTTCTCGAGCGTTCATTCTCTCCCCCGCTCTTCTTTTACCGCCTTCGTCTCCTCTCCTCTTCCTCTTTTCACGCAGATGCCAGCTCCAATTCAACCTGCACCAGAAACACCTCTTGCAATTTCCGTGGAAGATTGCTTCGTCTTCCGAAGACCCGTTCAAATCCAAGTCCTGCTTAGGGAACTGGATCGTCTTAGATTCTCTGCCTTCTCTTCTCTTCATCATCCATATGCCTGCTCTAATTCAACCGCCAAGAAGAAATTTGTCCAGAAAATTTTCAAATCCATATCCACCATTAAGATGCTCTGAACTCTTAAGAATGATTTCCTCTTCTCTTTTAACTTGAAGATCTAACAGTAAGTCAGCCATTTATTTAGTTTTAAGGAGATTCAAATGTACATGATTTTTAACGCTTGACTTTGAGATATACGTTTTTCCTCAACACTCACTGTACTATGGTTTGGCCAAAAATCCTTGGCAAAATTCATAGCTTATTAGTGGCTAATAATATATATTTGAAAATTAACTTTTTCTTGAATCAGCTGAATCAGCCAATGCAGCCACTTCAGCCAGAACTTCATAAATTTCAGCAGAATCAGCCAAATCAGCCAATTTTCGTGCTACCAAACGGGCTCTAAATCTTTCACACAAATGCTAAAACCTGACAAAGAACTATCGTTGAATCAAATTATGTTTTTCTTTTGATAAAAATTCCTTCCTTTTAGCTTGTGTACAATTCTAAAAAACAACTTTCCATATTTCAACTTTCATAAAGCAGCAGATTTATAGTCAAAAACTCTGTCTCAAGTCAATTCATATTGCTAAGATTTTCTATTCATTTTTTTGTTCATATAGTTTCATTTTTTGTAACAAGGATTTTAGTTATAACCCAGGCATATATCATTACTTTAGTCTGTGAGCAATCCAGGAACACAAAGCTGGAAAAACAGAATCATTTTTATTGCTATATGAGATACCGGTCATTGCTAAAGATCCAACTTTGAATCATTGCAAAAGAAATGCTACCAATGCAACTGCGGTTTTTAGGTTTCAAAGAACCATTTTCACCATCTATGTGAAACTTCATCATTATTGTGGTTTTGATTATATTTAGTTTCTTTTGCTTTCACCATCTCTATGGAGTTGAACTTATCAAACTTAGCTATTATCGGAAAGGTATGGCCGTATGATTATGCTATTTATTGCAGCTTTATGATGGTATGAACAAATCCTGTTTGTTAGCTTGCAACAGGATTATGACCTATGTAGAGTAATCAAGCACTTTAAGTTTGTATTCTTATATTTTATATATCTCATGTGAGATGAAATGCAAAGCTGAAATTTCTCTGTGTTTTAAAATAGCATTATGATGATAAGAACAAATATTAGTTATTAGCTTGCAGTTGATTATGACATATTTATTCTTAATAGTTGGTTTGTTGTTTTCCTTCTCACTTTATTTTTTGTTTGTTTTTTATTGCAGCTTTATGATTGTATGAACAAATACAGTTTGTTAGCTTTCAATAGGATTATGACCTATCCTAAAGTAATCAAGCACTTTTAGTTTTTGTTCTTCTATTTTATATATCACATGTTTGATCGAATGCAAAGCTGAAATTTCTACGCGTTTTAAAATAGCATTATGATGATTTAGCTTGCAGATGATTTATTAGCTTGCAGATGATTTATTTCTTAATAGTTGGTTTGTTGTTTTCCTTCTCACGTAATTTTTTCTTTGTTTTTTATTGCAGCTGTATGATGGTATGAACAAATCCAGTTTGTTAGCTTGCAATAGGATTATGACCTATCCAAAAGTAATCAAAGCCTTTTGCTCTTTAAACTAAGCTTTATGATTCGTTTCAGTAGGCCTTTTTTGTTTCATTTTGAAAGCATTTCCATTAAAGTTTTATTTCAAGTTTTGGAGTCATTTCTAATCCATCTGTGTTTGACCTCACTCAGATATTAATGAAATCCATAATATGATGATTTGAACTAAAAGATTATGTGATTAATAAAAAAACTGCATATATCAAATTAGGGAAAAAGGTCCTCAATATATAAGCTGAATTTCTTTCTCTACTAAATACTATGTCCATTGATTTGTCCACTTTTTTCTTTCTACTTTTATAATAAGAAGACTCAAGATGAAACTTTAGCATGTATGAACTTGAAGTTTTGATGATCTTTTTGCTATTATGACATTTTTTCTTGGGAATTCAGCATAGTTTGTTTTTACGAATACATATCGCCATAGAAGGTACATTCCATCTTTTCAGGTTACTTTTTTTCTTTCATTTTTTGAATGTATAATCTGTTTATACTATTAGCAGTGTTTAAACTAATGTGGGCAGCACACTCTTAATTGTTAGGTAGGGATTGAAGTGTGTGAAGCTTCTTGATGGAGTCTCACTCAAGGGTCAGACTATGGAAATGGAAAACTGGGAATTTTATTTGGACTGACTTCTTTCGGCCTCAAAGAAAAACTTGCAGGCTCACTGGTTTCTTATTTTTGTTATCTTCTTGTGATGCCATCTACTGGGAGGCAACTGAGGATGGAAATTTCTCCTATAGATCTACTTTTGAAGAGATAAGGAATGGTCTGCCTGCAAATTTTTCTTTTGCTCATAGTTGACATCCTTAACAAAAAATGAAAATAAAAATGTTACAATGGAAGATCTTGAATGGTATCCTTCCTATAACTGATAACCTGGGTAGGTTTCAATAGATGCGACATCCTTCTATGTGCCTTTTGTCAAAGAGTCAAAGTGACTTTATGAAACATCTTTTCTATTGCTGTGAACATGAGCAACCAACTAGGAGTTACTTCATGGGCATATTTGGTATCACTGCTCCCCCTAATTGCTCTATCAAACAAGTTTTGAGGTTATGGTGGCACAAATTTGGAAGCAACACACTGGTGGATTTATTTACAAAAAAAATCTCTCTGGTATTATTTGTTGGCATATTTGGAAAGCTTACTTTAAAGGAACATTTCCCTTTTTGGCAAACAAAACAGTGCCAAACAGTGTTCCTCCTAAATATGTTTGAAAACACAAATGTGCTCTTTATATTGGGGCAGAGGGAGTAATATCTAAATTTCTCATCCCGTGCAACGCACGGGTGGAATACTAGTTGAGGTGAAGTCAGAAAACATAACTTATTCGAAAGTCGAAACGTTAACAATTGAAACGTTTGTGGTCAATGGTCAGCCGATAAATTCCTCCGTTCCATACCCAAATTATCCCCATAGCCGACCAAACGCTTCTTTTTCGCCGGACGAATTTTAATAGAGTGGGGTGCTCTTCTTTCTTTAACAACTCTGACTATAAATTAAAATTGCCAAAGTAATTAACAATTATGAATCAAAGTCAGGATATGAGAAACCATCTCAAATTGTCGTCCTCTGGTCCATCCTTAGTGCTTCAAAATTTTCTCTATATTGATTATAATTGTTCCTTTCCTATCTTTCCCAACCAGACAGTGTCAACTGTCAAGTTCATCGCTGATTGCCCTGCTTTTCATCTTATATTCATTTGTCAACTTTGTTTTGCATTGCCTTTCATCTCAAACAATAAGAAATTGGAACCTCTCGTACTTAATTCGTTGTAAAAATTATACTCCGTAAGCATTATAAATATCAATACTAAAATCGTAATAATTGTTAAAATATATCATTATTATAATTAATTTGTTGCATTGATAATTATATGCCCTTTCTGGTAATTTCATATTATCCGGACACTTTTTCAGCTCTTTTTGCCGAACGGGCCTAATTCATTCATCTACTACTTCAGATCCTGCCAACATGTCATAGTTAGCTCCAGACATGCAATAGTCTATGATTCAGACAATAGCTCTTAATCCAGACATTAGTCTTCAGTTCCAGCTCATCGTGTCAAACATAGTCCAAATTATCAAACTTTCGTTATTTTTAGGTAGTGTTTAATGCACTAAACCCTTAGCTTGTGATATACGTAGTATACATTTGGTACGTTAGCTCCTATGATTTTAAATATATATCAAATCTGCCTGTTTTATAGATATTCATGTGTGAGACCCCTCTCTCCTAACAAATTTAATTGCCAAAATGGAAAATAATTAGTAATTTTTACATAATTTATACAAGTATTTATTTGCTTATTCAATCATAACTATTTCTAAACAAGATTTACGCATTGGTAATTATGGAGTATAAGACATGGGGGGTCTGACACAGTTTATCAATCACCGAAGGCTAGTGCACATCATTTATACGAGTATATCACAATGACGTTTCGTGAACTCTTTTTATACGTAGTATAATATACTCCCTCCGTCCCTTATAACTTTGCCAACTTTCCTTTTTTGGTTGTCCCAAAAACTTTGCCACTTTCCCTTTTAATTAATCAATTTGTGGCTCCTGTGATTTCTCTCTCCTCTGCACAAATATCTACCACACAGTTTTTACTTTATTATTTTACGTGCCGGTCAAACTTGGCAAACCTTTAAGGGACGGAGGGAGTAGGACTCATTTCCTTGTAAAAGAGGAAATTTTAAGTGTATTTGTTTTTTTTGGACAAAAGTGTACTAGGGTTGTTTATCAATGGGTCAAAGATCCCTTTTTATTACGGAACATTTGGTAAACTTTTACGTATTTTATTTGGGACATGTGTGGTGATATTGAAATTAGTTCATCAATTGAATTTGAAATTTAGAAAGTTTTAGTTAAAGTGACTGAATTTAATTATGTGATCATCTACTAAATGTAAAACGTAAAACCCATCAAACAATGTCTTAAACAATGTCTTAACATGTTGCGATGAGCTTGATTAAATCATTGTAGTCATGTTGTTATAAATAATGTAAAATAATGGGACCCCAACCGATGACCAACTTATTATTACGTAGTACATAAATCGAAATTGACACATGTCATAAAAATCCAAACTTGTAAAAACAAATACGTGGATGACTTGGAACCATATATATCATCCCAATCTGAAATTGCACGACCCAAAAGGCCAATGCAAAATAGCAAAACACACCATTTTATTCATAGTAACTTTGTTTTAAAATAAATTTTATTCTTTTTTTCATTCACTCAATATAAACTTTTCTTTCTTCTTTGATAAAGAATTTATCCTTTATAACATTTGTCTCTCATTCTTTCTCTTCTACATAATTTTATGTTGCACAATTTTCATTTTTTCAATCTCTTTGCAAAGTTTATTGGAGGGAATATAGTACTTCATTGGTCATTTATAATCTTTAATCTCCTTTTTCTATTTAATGATAGTGAGCTTCACAATATAGTTTTTATTAATACATTTTATGAAATTTATAAATTTTATATGAATGTATTTTGAAAAAGAACATTGTCATTAATACGGATTATAGAGTACATAATACATTCAAAAGAATTGTTAAATCTTGTTATTTAGCTTCCTTTGTATTTAAAAGTTTGCTACACTTTCATATTTAGGATATATTTCAAAATTTCATACATTTTTCTTTTTAATAAGTTTTTCCTTAAAAAATACTCAATTAGTTCTTATTTTTTCTATCGTTTATCTTCTATTTCCCACATTTTCATCTTCCCTCCTACCTTTTCTATCCTTTTCATTACTTCTATATTTCTTTCTTAAATATTGTGTCAAGACCTAATGTAATGACATTTTAAATACTGTGGGAGTATTAATTATTTTTTTCTTTTCCATTTAAATTTTATCAACCAATTATTACTTTATTACTACCTCTCTTAAAACTTTTATCACTTATCTTTTGGGGATGTCCCAAAAAAATACTTATTTCTTTTTTGAAAGTTTTGTATTGCTACTGGCTGGTATCTATATATTTTTTTCTTACTGAACTACAATCATATCTTTTCATTTCATTCTCATTTACGTGCACTTTAATCAATTTTAAATCGGGAAGAATTTTACGATGACAGAGCACCATAAGTCAAACTTCATCCCGGTGGAAGGAGTAAAACTTACTTGGCATCTTCAGCGGAAGAAAGGGAATAGTTGCCAATCCCACCTCCCAGGGAGAGCAGTACTTTGATGCCCTGGCTCTTGCAGGCTTTGATGTCGGCACTCAGGCCGGTGCACGTATTGCTGCGAGGATTACAATGGCCGGCGAGGTTCAGGACCGGTTTCCGACCACTCCCAAACACAGTCAGGAAAGCAACGTTGACGATTTTGTAGTTACCGGAGGCGCAGGTATCTCGCAGGCTGCCCTCGTTCCCATTTTGTCCCCAGTATATCGCTATTTCTCCCCCCAAACAGGCTTTCATCACTGAAAGGATCAAAAGGATTGAGAAGGGGACTGTTTTCTTATTATGTTTCATCTTACTTGGTAATTAAGTATATGGATTCAGATAATCAGATCCCTATCTTCTGCGAAGGGGACTGTTTTCTTAAGTAAGCTTAATTTGGAGTAAAATATGGCTTTTTTATTATTCACAGAGTACTCTGTATTATTTATTTATATATAGAAGCTCAATTCTGGGATGGGTCATCTGTGTTGACTTCTAAGCTGCACGTATAGTGCGCGTATCGATCGTTTTTCTTAACGTTATCCATTTATTTATTGAGTAAGAAAAGGTCCACGCTTTGCATCACTTGCATGATGTTTTTCAAACAAAATTAGTGCAATTTGTTTATGTCTCGAAATATAATTCTGGTTTGACTTTGACGCTTATTATATAAAAAACTAATGTGTTTAACAAGCTATTAGCGTGTAAAGGTTTTTATCAATGGTCAACGGATTTGATTAGTGGATTTAGTTGCTCAATTGCAATGGATAAATTTCCTGTTAAGCAATGACCGAGGAGAAATTTATCTCCAATTAGTTCTTTTAATCTAATCTAGCTTAGCTCCTCGCAGTACAAGAGTCCAGCATAATAACATACGGACTACGGAGTAATAATAGCAGTGGATCAGTGGATGCAATGGGTAGTTGAGGTGGGCTCTAGACTTGTCCTACCTCTGAATAATTATATTATGATATACGACAATTTAAGTGAACTTCCCAAAAAGGTAAAACGGGACCATATAAACGAGACGGAGGGAGTAATTAATATCCAGCCCACCTTAAATTTTCCCAAAAATATGACCCAGCTGTCCAGCCATAGTACACAATTCTATGTACTTGACCAATTAATTAATAAGAACATATTTTATATAAGAATGTCCATAGTGTATACGCACCATGAGAGTGATAGAAAATAAATCAATTACGGAGTACATTTTATCTACCGTTTTATATACGAAGTTCTCCCTCCGGCCTTTAAAACTTTGCCAAGTGTGACCGACACAGGGATTAATAAAATAAAAAATGTATGGTTAAGATTTGTGCAGAGGAGAGAATAATCTGAAACCACAAATTCTTTACTTAAGATAGAGAGTGACAAAGTTAATGAGACATACAAAAAAGAAAAGTTAGGAAAATTTAAGGGGCATTGTGATAAGGAGTAATTTTTGCATAATAATGTCAATCACAATTTCTACATCTAGACATTCGTCTTAACATTATGAAATTTGTTTAACAAAAACACATAGGACCTTTAAAATAACAAGAGAAATTTCGTTTACTACATAATATTCTATAATATTTATGTGCTTATCTCTCATACCACATATATAATATATTGTACACATTGTGACACTTGAGATTACGTAATATAATAAATATAAAATGACAATCTGCATTCAAAATTTAAACACCTTTTTTTGGAAATCAATCGAGCAGCCAAACAAGACGCTGCCTAAACAAGACGATTCTTCAATTTGCAAGCGGCAAGTCGCCCAAAGAGCCAATTAGTGTATTGGAACAAATGAACAAATTGTAGAATTCGTCTTTCAAATTAATTTACACAAGCTCAGTGGCAGTCGGTTAACAATTTATATATGTTTGTTTAATTATATTCTTTTCATATAGCATTTTCATTTACTTATTTTTATGTACTACGTATTACTCCGTAATTTAGAAGTTTTCTAAGGATTCACTTTATGGTATTCAAATTTTTACAATAAAGGATTTCCAACCATTCTTGGTGTACACGTTTTTGTACCCATCAGTACACGCATGTGTCTGTGAGAGTTTTTTTTTGTCTGTGAAGTGCGGTCCACAGACATAAGTTCGCTTGTTTTGTCTGTGGAAAATTTCACAGACAAAACAAACCAGCTTTTGTCTGTGGACCGCACTTCACAGACAAAAAAAACTCTCACAAACACATGCGTGTACTGATGGATACAAAAACGTGTACAAAAGGAATTTTTGAAGGATTTCTAAGGACTTATAGCATTTTTACTTTCAAAGTTTGACCAAAGTCACCATGTTGCACACACGTTTTTGAACTTTATGGTATTCATATAGTTCATCTGAGAGCAAGTTTTTTGTATTGAACTCGGCCACATGTAATAGCCTTATTTGTTAGTAATAGAAAAATAGGAAAAATTGTTAGGGTACAAAGTCTGATAAAAAAAATGTAAATTTGATATATAAATTAAAAGATTAAAAATGATTTAAGTTGATCATGTGAATAGTGGACGAGAATCTTCTAATGGGAAGGAGGTAGTAATAACCAATTACAACTAATTGTGAAACTATTTTTTAGCAAAAATGTTAAGCAAAATGTAGGTCGCGACGACCGAAGAGGAGGGCTTTGGTGTTGGCACTGGCGAAGTGGCACGGCTGCCGTGCCGACGTCTGCCGGAAGGGAAGCTACGAGCCTAGGAAGGGAGTCGGCTATTTTGCAGGGCATTACGTTCGAGAAGACATATGCTGGATGCCAATATGTTGACCCCGAGATATCTGGTTGTCTTCCTCAAGTTTGGGTAGTTTGTTAACCTTGGGCCTTTTGTTAATCTTGGGAGGGCCTTTTGTTAATATTTGGTCTTTTATGTTTGGGCCTGATAAAACTATACATTAGGGCTAACAAACCAACCTATGAGTCTATAACAAAAGCAGAGTAATGGACTTTTTTTTTTTTTTGCTTCTGTTGCCCCTATAATAATGGATTGAGTTATTTAATGCTTTATCTACTTTAGAGTTTGGAGAGTTTGGAACAGAAGACAACACAAAATGTGTTGTCTGTAACAGACAAAATTTCTGTGAAGGACAGACATGTGTACACATTTTGTGTACACATTTTGTGTACATTAAGCATTTTTCTAAAAAGATAATACATGAGTGCTTTTCTCTCTCTTTTAGATTAAAAATGAGTAATACGGAGTAGCTTATTTTAGATGTTCTACTGCAGTTGAAATAAAATAAGGTTTTAAATTATTGATTTACTATCAAGGTTTAATATTGTAAAAATGGATGCAAGACGTTTTTGGTTTTAAAATCTTTTTTATACCTTAAATTTTATAGAAAGTTTTAATATACCTCTTACTTATACTCCCTCTGTCCCTTATAATTTTGTCAACTTTCCATTTTTGGATGTCCCATTAACTTTGTCACTCTCCCTTTTAAGTAAAGAATTTGTGGTTCCATTTAATTCTTTCTCTTCTGCACAAACCTCAACTACACAATTTTTACTTTATTAGTTCTCATGCCGGTCAAACTTGAAAAAATTATTAGGGGTGGAGGGAGTAAAATTTAAAAAATTGGTTTGACATAAAATGTATTTGAATGAATAATACGAGAGTTGTAATAAGGATAGTTATAATTCTAGAAGAATAATTAAATAAAAAAATTCTCATTAGATAATTTTGCCACTTTCGTAGACTGATTTTGGTCTTAGTATTGGATCTCATAATATCAAATCAAACAAGATCACACACAATTAGATCAGATTGGGTTTGAGAAGACGTAGACAATAGTAAAAACACATAGAACAAGTATCTATCATACATGAAAATTTTAGTCTATTTAAAAACATTTTTAATCAAATTTTAATAAAGAGAACATGATTTAATCACACATTTTTTTACACAAGTAAATAAAATAAGAGATTTTTTATGAATTCCTTATAAAATGTTTCACTCAATCCCATCTTACAATCTCAAATCACACAAGTTAAATGATTTGATTTTGTGGAAAGAAAATTAATATGTGGAATGTATCAACTTCACAAAAAAAAATCTCCAAATATGGACCACGTACAGTCATATACTTTTCCCGTCTCTGAAATCTTCTCTGATGCTGATACTTGTCGTCTTTTTTCTCGTCTATGAAAATCCTGGTGTTGTTGAATGCTAATACGTACTCGTCTCTCATCCTTGGTTTTAGGTTTGTATTTCCATCCCTTCTTAAAGAAACTCTCTAATATGTTCTGCAATTTCACTTTCTCCATTTTGGCTTTCTGCATTTTGGCTTTCGGCATTCTTCTTGGTTTCAAGCTTTCCGCAAGTGCTCTGCTTTTGAGTTCTATTTTTTGTTTTTTTTTTAAATCTGTTCTTGTTTTACATTCTTCATGTTTCTAAAATTGTTGCTTATGCATCATTCTTTATGGTTTCATTTGCATTTTTTCCTTCTTCATTTGGCATTGTCCTATGTTGACATGTTCAGTTTTTACATACGTTGTATGTTTCTACACTAACAAGGTTTGTTTGTGGTGGGGATGTGGATGGGGGAAGAGATTATTTTTTGCTATCGCAGATGCCCTATAAAAGCATATTAGGATGTAGCTTTATTATCAGAGAACTATGTTTTTCTAGTCTATTTTTTTATGTGTTGCAACAACAAAAAAACTAGAAGAGTTTTGTTCAGAATCATGTACCAAGGAGTATTCTCATGTGTTTGTAGAACTATTTGGCCAGTATTAATGCCTTTATTTAGCACATCAATTTTAAGAAATGCAAGCTTTCATATTTACGTTTCCATTCAAACATAAATGTTGGACTCTATTTGGCGAAGGTTTGACATGTTTCATTACATTGTGCAATTAGTGTTATCTTATTTGATTTATGGACACATTTTTGAATATATTGCAAAGCGAATTCTCAATTTCTTGAAAACAAACAATCCGTAATGCCTTGTGTCCTCTATTTAATCAACAGCCAAGTCATATACTATCCGCAGCAACGTAAACTTCCAGATAATTAATTCACAACAACCACATTTATCAAGGTACAAACGCTATATCATCATTCATTCTTATGAATAAATTTAATTCATTTTTTATGGAAATGTTGTGTGAAGGAATGCGTATGACATTGTCAATTGTAAAGTGCTCGGCGAATTATTCCTAGTACTACTCATTTTCTTATTGAGCATTGGATGATTGGATCTTCCTCTGTTGTATCTAAATAGTCCACTGCGTAATAAACTTCAATGTGTATGAAAATGATCAATTCTTTGGTATAAATTCTCAATCGTGTGGACTGTATTGTTAGAAAAATATGATTGTTTCTTCTCCTTTTTTTGGTAGCAACTCATTGGATATACAAAGCCAACATCTTAAATATAATAGTGTGATATATGTATCTTAATTGTTTTCAATTTAGTTTATGCAAGTCTATTTGTGAGCTTATATGAAAGTTGTAAGGTCTCACGTACTAGTAATCTAATTGGTTGGTGCAAAGGTTTACAAACACCCCAAC